TGCAATACAAATGAGATTAGCACACACAGTCAATATCAGCATGTAAGCCATAACCCTCTGGCTTTTGACACCGGTCACTCCAGCACCCCTGTCCACACAGAGCGCATAACCGTGACTCATGTAACCATAGATCATAGCTTGGGTACCCCCTAAAGGCAGATCTTGGGGGAAAGGTTTGTTTGCAATAGTTTATCCCAGAAAAATAGGAAGAGGGGGTGCTGGGAGGATGCAAAACCAATTCAAGGTATGTTGTTAGCAGTTATCAGTGGAGGTAACAAAGCTCGGTTCTCTTGGTTCAAGACCTCCATGGAATTGTATAGAATGCACCTCAAAATTGCCTGCCTGGCCAGAGAGGAGAATATCTACCCACTCATTCCTACTCTTCATTGGTCAAAGTTTCCCAAATAGTTCTCTGGTAACTACCAAGTGTGTCCATCTGTGCTAGAAGGGCAGAACAGCCTCCTCCAGAAATCCCGCTTGGCAGCAACAAGAAATCCTAGAACAAAAAACCAGAGATATGAAGTGTGGTGAGATGCCAACAGGCTACCCTTTCTTGCAACTGGCTAGGGTAAAATGGTGCAAACAGAACGATGAGCAGAGGGGAGATGAGCTAGGCATAGAAGTTGCCAGTGGGGATGCAGTATAATCCATGCTGAAGAGCACTGAGCATCGCCATGCTCTCTGGGTCCTCACCACCACCTGGTGCACCCCTAGACCACATCACAGTCCCCAAGAACAGCCAGACTTAATCTGAGGTCACCCAGTGAGTCAGGGACAGGCTTGAAACCAGAACTCATATTTCCTGTCTACCATGCAAGGGTCTTCATTCTATTGGGCTTACATAGAAATGATGGTTCCAGGGACATGGGAACCTGGCACGCAGAGGTGTTTTGGACCCAGCTCCTAAAAAAAGAAATTTATATATTTTTGGCAGAATCATGTTAGAATGTGAGCTCCTTATCTGGCTTGTTTATTATATTATTTCAAGTACCCAGCAATTTCTGATTATGGTTTGTCGGTGCTTGGCACATTATGTGTTGATGAATGATCAGTTTGATGACTTATAAAAGTGACAACTCTCTTGGATCCTCTCTTCTTTAAACAAGTGAAGGCAATCTCCGCTTTGATGTTTATCTTCCCAAGCACTGACTTGTCTTTGTTCACTTACTGAAAGTTGGGCTGGCAAAATATTTCCATAAAACATTTACTTATTGGGAATCACATAACCATTTCTTTTTTGGGGGATGGAGGAACTTGATTCTTCTTTTGCCTGCAACTTCTAATATTTCATAATCAATTTGATAAAGATGGCTGTAGGGTATTATAGGGTATGGTTTTCAGGCTTTTCTGCCCTCTCACCATCAGGATTTTCCTGCCTGATGGGGTACCTGCAGTTGTTACATTGTTGTGAACTATGTTTACTTCTGTGGGCCAAGGGAAGAGCATTGAGTTAGTCACCAAGAGAAGCAGGAGAAGAAGCAGGAAAGGAGCAGGAGAGAGAAAGGTGGAAAAAAGCCAGAGAAGCCCAGTGTGAAGACTTGCGGGGGGCTTGGAGGCCTGCCTGCCTCCTGGCCCCCTGGCCCCCCTGCCTGCTGTGTACCTGGTTGCTACAATGCATGTAAAGCTCAGTAAAAGCCTGAGAAAGCCACAGAGGGTTCCAAGACTCTCTTTACCTGTCTGCCAGATCATAGATAACCTGCTCAGTGACCTTCCTGCCCCTACAATGGCCTTAGAGAAAAGCTATTGTATCTAAAGTGGCTGAATAATTGATATCTAATACTCTTGAAGACTTGTGAATCACTAGCCTCCTCTTTTATATTTACCATAACTTGGTAATTTTTGTAAATTTTTGGGTAGGAGGGATGATCATGCTCACTGAAGAATTTGTAAACGTTATCACTTTCTAATATAGTATGCAGCCTGGCTTTACACTCTCTTAGTCACATCCTCCCAGTAAGCTTTATCACCATATTTTTTATCAAGTTAACATATATAGTTGTTAACTTCCATTGTTTAAAACTACCACATTTACTCATCGCTGTGTGACCATTGTGAGGGCTAAGATTGATATAACATAAAAATGGGAATACTGCATCAGTTGACACCAAACTGTCAACCAGTTACCTTATCTTTTTTTTGGCAGCAAAATTGCTGTGCAACCAATTAGTTATCAGTGAAAATGTCTATGGGGAAAATGTTTTTTAAAAAAAAGGTTTAAGATTTATTTTATTTATTTATGCATGGGTACAGACCAGAGGTACAGGGGGTAAGAGGATTCACCAGAGACAGAGTGGGGGAACAGGCAGATCTTCTGAAATACACTGCTGAGGGGAGCAGAGGGCAGGACAGGAGAGGTCTGCTGCATCATATGCATCAGCTCCCTGCCCAGGGAACTAACTGATACTCCAGTGGTTGTTGACAGCTTCATGGTGCTGAGACTTAACCCCTTGTGCCACCAGGGAGGCCCAGGGGAAAATGTTTTTTGATGAAAATTCTTGCAGCAAAGAACTTAGGGTGAAACCACCTAGAACCTGGAAAGCACTTAAAGTGCCTTAGAAAGGCAGAGTCTCCTCTCTCCATCTCCTTAACACTCATTTTATTGGATTGGGGGGTTTTTCTTTACTGCTGAAGCTTTCTACTGGGCCCTTGTGGGCAGAACAAACATAAGTGGATGGAAGCTCCAGGGCAGACATTTTGGCTTCCAGGAATCACACTGTCAAGGTAGCTGGAAGAATCAGGACCTTGGGGTTGGTTGTTGCCTAGTCTGAGATTCTGGCCACACAGTGACTTGTCTCTGGCTGTACAAGTGTGGACGGCTGCCTGATTTTAACCACTAAGTGGAAAGCAGGGTGTGTGACAAATAGGCCATGAAAGCAGGCTGTGTTTCTGGCAGGAGAAGGTATGCTACACTTCTAAAGTTATAAGCAGCCGCCACCCTGTTGGCCTATCTCTGACTTCCTCTTCCAGATTGCCAACCCAGGCTCCAGCACCTTCCACACCAGACCAGCTCAGACCCACTGCATGCACACAGAGGAGGAGATCTTCCTGGAACATACCTCTGATTACCTTTGTATCTCTATTTAAGTACCCTCCCTATGCCCCATGGCTCCCTGCAGCACAGAATATACCATCTAGTCTCTTTACTGCTTGGTTCCAGGCACCATATGAATCCTGTTCTTGATGCTTCAATTTCCCGACATGCTTCTTCCTTGTGAATTCTGCTTCATAATACCTAAGGTGTTTGCTTATCCTACAAACCATCCCTTCATTTTCAACACAACCAGATCATGTCTTGTTCCCTTCAAGAGAGATTTGCCCAGTTCAATCTCATTTAGAATTCGTCTATGAGCTTTTGTTTCCTAGGCTAGTCCATGGCCTGAATTACACCAGAGTAATCCCTATGTCCCTCTCCTGGTTGATTCCATTTGGTTTGTTGCAGGTCAGTTCCCTAAAAATGTTTCAACCCAACTTAACCAAGCCTTTCCCACTTCCCTTTTGTTTCAAGGAAATAAACCCTAATTCGAACTGAATCTAAACAATGAAGGAGATTTGTTTGTTCACATAATTAAAAGATCCAAGACACCCCTAGCTCCAGGTCAAACTTGATCCGAAGTTCAAATAATGTGATGAGATTTCTGTTTCTCTCTGTGTACTTCTCAGTTCAGTTCAGTTTATCTGGAGTGAGGATCTTGTCTGGCTCTGCTCACATTAATGACTCATAAGGGAATATGCTTCCAGTTTCAAATCCAATATGAAAGAGTCTGTTTCCATAAAACTTAAAGACTAAAGTCAAGTTTCATTAACCCTTAATTGACTGACTCTGGTCATGTGCTTATCCTTGAAAAGCTTAATCACTGTGGGCAAAGTGAATTCAGGCTGTCTTAAGTAAATGTGGGTTTACCATACGGTTTGTGGTGTGCCCCAAAGTTGATAAACTTATAGTACTGGTTGGAACAGGGAAGCAGGGAATGGATTCTGGGAGTCATTTACCCAAAGTCCACAGTACCCACTTACCACCTTCTAGGCTAGCCCTATTCATTCCCAGGTGGACCCTAAATGGTTTCTGCCAGGATATCCCTCAGCAGGTGGGAGAGCTCCTAGGATCTCCCCCAAACATTCCCTTCATTACACTGCCAGACAAGACCATCAGGACAAAAGGGACTCAAAACATCAGAAGCCTGGCAGAAATGCAAGCATTCCCAGAAATCCATATTAACAGGGACAGTGGAAGTTTTCTTATAAGAAAGCACAGGCAAAGCAAGTTTCAGTTTCATTATCTGGAAAACGGGTATAAAGAGTGAGTACCTATGACTTTCTTATTTGTGTTAAATGAGATAGAGGGCAGAGAGTGCCTGAAACACACAAGGTGCTGGTATGAAAGGACAATTCTTGTAATGCCCATGATGACACTAAGAAGTGCCTCTGTGGGGCCTCCCTGGTGGTGCAAGGAGTTAAGCACAGCATTATGAAGCTATCCACAGCCTCTGCATCACGAATTCGATCCCCAGGCAGCCAGGGAGCAACCAACATGGCGCGGCAGACCTCTCCTGTCTCTCCCGCTGCTCCCCTTAGCAGTGTATTTCAGTGGATCTGCCTGTTCTGCTCCACACTCTGTCTCTGGTGAATCCTCTCCCCCCAACCCCCTCGCCCACACGCACCTTTGGCCTGTACCCCAGTTTTTGTATGCATTAAAAAAAAAAAAAAGAAGTGCCTCTGAGTGCCCCTGTGAGGAACCCGAGGTGGGATACTCATTGCCTAGTTTCTTTGAAGCCCACCACACCAGTTGGCTTCTCATGACCTGAGTTTCAGGGGGAGTCTGCCAGGCAGTTCCTCTGTTGTTTGTCACTCTGGTGTTACTTTCTCTGCCCTGTGGAGCTCAGCCCCGCCTGGGCTGCTGTTGGCTGCAGGGCGTGACTGGGGGTGGGAGCTGGCAGGGTGCCTGTGTCCAGAGTATAAGGGAACCTTGGGGCAAGCAGAAGGCAGGCTGGAGCCTGGGCAGCTGCAACTCCAGCCATGGTACCTGTCTCGCTCTCCCTGAGCCCCTTCCGCCTGGGCCTGTGGGCTTCTGTACTGATCTTGATCTTAGTCTTCCTCAAGGTCATTAGTCTGTTTCTGCGGAGGCAGATGCTGGCCAAGGCTATGGACAGCTTCCCAGGGCCTCCTACTCACTGGCTCTACGGGCATGCACATGAGGTACGTGGTGGCACAGGGAGGAATGGAGAAAGGGAACAGCCTTGTTTCCCTCAGATCCAGCCTAACTCCCTGGGGACCATGGAAGGAACACTTATGCTTGGGCAGGGGGTGATGTCCTGGGAAGAAATGTTCTCATCCAGACACCCCCATCTGATCTTTCCCTCACTCCCGTCTTCCAACCTGGCCTCAGAGTTGGGGAATCATCTACGTTGCCACAAACTCTTCCCCATCATTCTGAGACCCAGGTTTGGACAAAGCTCTGCTAAGGACTCCACGATAGGATTGGGGAAAATCCCCTGGATAGTCTGACAGAACCAGTCTATGGGCTGCCTGGGAGCTCTAAAACCTTCCTGGGTTCACATCCTGCCTTGTTACCCCATTTGCCTCAGGGTTGTGGGGACCTCCTTAGCACCCATTGTCAGGAAAACTTCTTAGTGCCCTAATGCTGTGGGATCTAGACTGGAAATTTCTGAACACAGGGCAAGGACACCTGCATTGCAATCAACTGGGAGAAGCTGGTTTCTTGGTCTCCAGCTTCTGGAGATTCTAATTAACATGTTGGAATTAGGATTCCAAATTTGAATCCCCCCCCACAAGTGTTTTAATTTCCAGCCAGGTGGGGGAACCCAGGTATAGATGCTAGAGATGAGGCTCAGAGAGAGAGAGATACAGTTACTTCTCCTACCTCCTGAATATGCTTCCCCCATTCTCAGTTTGGGGAATTGCTTCTTCTCCATGATTGATCCTGGGAATGAACTTGACCTTCCAGTGAATATGTCCAGGCTTATTCTTACCCCTACAGATAACAGCCTTCTCAGGATAGATGAGTAGTCTGCATGCATTCTGGAGACACCTAAGAAGGGAAAGACAGGTTAGGGAGATGAATCACACCCAGACCTCCTTTCAGGGAGTTTACAGTTTAGAGAAGAAAAGATATAACAGAATTTTCCTTGCTGCCAGGCTGGTTGGGGGTGCCTAACTAGAACATGCATCAGCCCTGTGCTCTGTGTCTCAGGCCCTGTAGGTTTCTGTTTGGTTGTTCATCTTCCCCACTAGACCATGGGTGCTGGGGGTGGAGGTCTGGTCTGATTTATCTTGTGCTCAGGATACAAAGGATGTCATCACCAAATGAACAATGGTGGTTGGCGCACAGGGAAGAGTATTGATAGAGAAGACAGAAGATGGAGAAGACAAGTGGAGGGACCAGGAGGGATTGCAAAAGCCTTCCCTGAGTACAGAGGAAGGTCAGGGAAAAATGGAGATCTACACTACACTACAATGAATGTGGTGGGGAGAGAAGTAGGGGAGGCATTGAGGGAGACTTCAATCCCTTCTTCCACATCTCCTCTACTTCTACTTGTTTCCATCAGAACTGGGTTTGCCTTCAGCCAGTTGGCTTCCCATGTCAGAGCTGACTACCATCTCTGCCCAGATGCCCTGTGCCCCACCTTGAGAGTGTGTAGAGGGCCTGGAACACAGCTTTGTTCTGACTTCTTGGCCCTAGCACAAGTATCTAAAGGGCTGAGGCACCAGAAAGGCAAACAGGATTGAAGAGGTGTTTGCTCTTGGGAAAAACAAAGGTTTCCTGGGGAACTATCATGAGCATAACACCTCTGCATCCCTCTAGGGCTGGGCACCTCGGATTCACACTTGAGCCTAGAAGTAGGAAGGGCAGGGTAGGGTTTATATTTCCAAATATGAAAATGAAGAAATTGAGATTCAGAAAGGGCAAAGTGTTTGACTATGTCCATGGCCTAACACAGGAGTTGAGACAAGTCTGAGCCCAGCACCCATTCATTTTCACTGAAGATGGTATCAGGCCTTGCAAAGTGACTGCTTGATTCCGAGGCCTGGTGAGATTGGGAGGAAGGGCCTGGGGGTGAGGCGGAGCTGTCTATTAGGATTAAATTCTTTTATTGGTCTCTAATTACAGTCTGGAGGTTCTGGAAACTTCTACCCTTTGTCTTCCTTAGAATGTGGCTCCTTGAAGCAGAATTATGTCTTATTCTTCTAGGGTCCCATCAGATCATTCTGGGCCAGGGAGGACTTTGTATATAGTAGCTGCTCAGTCATATTGTTCACCTGAGGTTGGGACTCCTGGAAGAAGCCCATGAATCTGACCTGTGTGTGTGTGAAAGAGTTGGGGGCGGAGTAGGAGTGGGAGGATGGGGAAATGTCAGTTCCCAGGCAGGAAAGGCAATCCTCTGAGATGACAGAGGGCTTTTCCTGGTCCTGCCATCACTGGGACAGCTGCTTTGATGTGCTGTGTAGTGAAGAGCCCTGGTGTGGGGCTCTGGCTCATTTTCACTCAGAAGACACTGATGGTGGGCTTCCCCTGAGCTTCCTCTCTCTACTTTTCTTTCTTTCTCAATAACATGAAGATAAGATTTTTACCTTACTGGGTTGGAAGAGATTGCAGTTTGCAATCTGCTGGCAGATGGATGTCAAGTATTAAATCACTAGAGTGGGAGTCTTATTGTTTTTGTTTTCTTCAACCTTCTTCTTCCCTCCAAATCAGTCACCTTTGGGAGTCAGATAAGGTCCCTCTTTTCCCATGCACTAGTGTTGCTCTGGGTCTATGCTGAGGCCAGAAGCTGAGGATGAAGGAACAAGGCTAGAGCCCCTGCTTGAAGAACTTGGTCTGTAGGAGAGACAGAGAGCACAGCACAGAGTCCAGATCCTTGGGTCCAGGGAGGGGATGCGGAGGTGAATCCTAAAAGATCTGGAAGTAGCAGCTTGTGAAAGAGTTGAAGGCAAGGCAAGGCAGAATATGCTATCTGTGCAAAGGCACAGAGCATGATGTATTTAGGAAATTAATTTGTTCCACAATATTTGCTTTCCAAGGTTTCTATGAGCCTGTGTTAGTAGCTCCACAATTCTGGAGTGATGAGCAAGGAAAAAGTGGAGAGACTGAGGCCTGAAGCAGTAGGGGCAAATCACATGCAAAAATCTACTTTATTGGGTACAATGGGGAGCTACTGAGGGATTTAAACAAGGGAGTGACAAGGTCAGATCTGTGTGATACATCACTTTGACTTCGGCCAGTGGCTAGACTGGCAGACACCAAATGGGAGGCAGCGTGGAGGCTGAGGCAGGATCCAGGCAGACGCTGGTAGCGCGAGGCTTGGCTTGAGAGCGGTGGGAGATGGCTAAGTTGTCTTGGCATTGTGTGCTTGGGAGGGAGGATGGTGAGGCTTCCACCAGAGCAGTCAGCGATGTCCCAGGAACACAGGGGACACAGCGATGTCCTAGGAAAGGGGACACAAGATTGTGCTGGGAGCTTTGTTAAACTGTGGCATCACCATTTCTGGGTGAGAGCAGAATTTGGCAAAGTCATGTAAAGAGAAAAGGACTCCTGAGCCACAAGATTGGATTGCAGCTAGGGGAAATGAATTTCTAAGTCTAGATTTAAGGAGGTGGGATTTGAGACCCTGGAAGGGGAAATGGGGGCTGGTGCCACTTGTCAGTGTTTGGGCAGAAGTCTTGGGTACTGATTTGGAGGGTTTCATGGCAGGAACCTCCTCTTGGGAGCTGTGACATCTGTCTCTCTTAGTTCCTGTTTGCTGATTCCAATGCAAAAGTCACTGGGTGGGTCTGCAGGAGAGAAAGGCAGCCTCCACATGGGCCCCTGGGTATTGCTGTAAACCACGGAACTCCATGCTGTGTTTCAGGCTGGCATCAGGGAACACAATGATGCCATTCTTAGGTATAGGGGACAGGGTTGGGGGGTAAACATGATGTGCTTATGTTTAGAAATACTGGGTCTGAAGGGAAGCTCATGTAGAGTTGTTCAGGGGGTGCTTGAGGATGTTTCTGGAGCTCAGGAGAGAGATAAGCTGGGCTGAGTTGTCAATTTAGGTACTAGAGGCAGGTAGATTGGCAAAGGAAGCCAAGGGAGGTGGGGAGAGCCTTTGGGGAGAAGGGGAAGCTGGGGAAGGGGTCAAGGTCTGGATTTTGGAGCAGCCTTAGTCTTTGAGGAACAAATGATGGGTGAAGAGCTGCTGAGAGAGGACATGAGGAGAGGTGGGAGCACATCCAGGAGAGAGGGGGTACCAACAGGGGCACTGTGCTGGCAGTCCTGGGCTTACCACCTAGGAGTGGCTTTGGGCAAGGCGCATCCTGACGATGCGTGGTGGCTCAGAGGGTGGTGGTGACCCTGGCCAATTCCACCCAAAGTCCCTTCGCTCCTATTGAGCCAGGGGCTGTGCTGTGTGTTTACACATGCTCACAGGCACAAGTATAGTCGTGCACTGGTCTCTGAAAGGGACGAAGGCAGATGAAGTCACCTGTTGTCAGGTGAGAGCTTGGAAGGACCATAACTTCTCTGCTCCATAGGGAACAATGCCTCAGAGCTCCTCCTTCACACCCCATGGCTCTCTGCTCAGACTCACAGTTGAGTCCACAAAGAATTTATATATACTGAATCCATATATTCCACGGACTTCTATGGTTATTCACAGCTGCTGTCTCTTCTCATTTTTGGTTCTTCTTGGCAGGCACTCCTACCCTTTAGCTTTGAATAAACAGCTTTGCTGTTCTTGACATCGGCTGGGGCTCATGTGAGCGCTGAGCACTGACCCATCTTGCAGGCAGGGGCAGTGCCCATAACGGAGAGTGACTGAGATGAGGGCACCCAAGGGCACCTAAAGATGTCCATCCCAGAGGAGAGCAGATCTAGAAGTTCTGGTTCCCACTTCCCAATACCTGTAGGACTTCTCTGGGCAGGGGACCCTGTGGACCCCAGAGAGCAGAGCAGAGTCAGCAGGCAGGTGGCATGCTGTTCAGTGACTCAGAAATCTTTTAAAGAATTAGAAGAAATGGTTGGTTTGATTTGAAAAACAGTATGTTCCCTGTTGTTTGAGCTTGTGTGATGGAGAGCTATACATGGGGAAGGAGTGGGCCAGTGATCCTGGGAATCAGAGATCAGCAAGCAGCATGCTCTGCCATGAGGGAGCCCCAATTTGCTGGGGAAGAGGGAAGCCCTACCTCTCCCCTCCCTGTCTTTCTGAACTCCCATTCCAACTTTGCTAGATTTATTTCTGCTGTCAAGCAGCCCCTTCCCCTGAAAGCTGTGGCAACAGCAGCCTGGCCAAGCAGGTAGCTTTTTTCTTGAACTCTTGCCAGTTGAGCTTCAGGCCAACTTGGCTTGGACAGGCATCTGATAGGAGGGATGGCAGAAAGAGCCTCAGGTAGGCTCCCCATCTGCCTGATAGATGTGGGACAGTTAACTGCAGCCTTTAGGCTGCTCTTTACCCACTTATAAGGAGGGGGTGTGGTTCTACTACAAGACGTTGAAGTCTCTTTTATACCTAATCCTCAGAGCAGAACTTACTCAGACTCTGGGGGAGCAGAGCAGGGAGGATTGATTTACTTTGTTCTTCCCAATGACTCTAGTTTATTCTTGGTGAGAACGAGGAGTACAACTGTGAGGATGTGAGGGTGGGGCTGGAAGCTGTGCTCAGTGAATTATCTCTAAGCCATGTTTTTTTCCTGCTTCCTTCCTCTGGAGAAAACAAGCTGACCCAGACAGCGTCCCAGCTCACAGCATGTGAGGACAGGGGCCTCCTGAGGCCTCCAGTTGTGTAACCCAGAGTTGCTGCTCAGGCAGCCACGTGCCCCCCAGAGAGAGAACACCCCAGCCCTCTTGGAGGGCTGCAGTTTCATCAGTGAGGTCAGGTGCCAAGAGCTGTTCTTGCTTCCTCCAGGTTCCTGGGACAATCAAGGGAACACAGGAGGAAGTTGGGCATGGGAGGTGGGGGCCAGCTTAGCTGTGAGTGTGGTCAGCAGGTGGTCAGGGCCTCCTGTCCTGGAGGCAATGGCAATGCATCAGGGGAGGGGGCGGGTCATGCTCGTGACTGGCGAGGAGGGGAGGAGCGCTGATGAACCAGTCACTTAAGGGGCCCTACCAGCCCTGAGGCTGCGAGTCTGGCTTTTCTGTGCTTAAACTTCTCCTTGACCTCTGTCCAACTGGACTTCTTAGTCCTGGGAGGGATGGAGAGAAAGGGAGCAGCAAAGATGATTAGAAAGTTGGCAAGGAAAAGCCAGGAGGGGACATGGAAAAATAAAAAAGACACAGCGGGGAGGGAACACTTGTAGGGCACCAAAGAGGAGAGGGGAAAGTGAAGGGGTCAGGGACACCAGGCATTCCCTTTCATCAGTGGATGGAGAGGGTGTCTATGCCCTTTTGACATTGTGCGCTTAAGGATGGTGAAAATTCTAGGTTGAGCTCAGGATGGGGAGTGCAAGGCGATGAGAGAAGGGCTTCATGGGAGATGACACTGGACTCTGGAGCAGGCCTGGGAGCAGAGAAACTCCAGAGAAGGGACAGATGGGTGGCTGGAGACTAAAGTCACTGGGTCCAATCCCCAGGCTCTTCAAGGGAAGTGGTATGGGCCAGAGATTTCTGGGGGCTAAATTATCAGATGTTCTGTGTCCTTCTTGGAGGCTGTTTTCTGGAAAATTAGTTGAGTAGGTGAAAACTATGAAAGGGAGGAAAACAAGGCTAGCACTTGCATGGACCTCAAGACGAATGGCACACCCTACAATTGTGCAGTGCACAATTTGTACAACTGACTACAGCAACCCTGACAGGCTCCGCTGTGCAGAAGAGAGTGAGGGACTCTAACCTGGGTTAGATCACTGAGAACCTACAATTAATGGTGAGTCCTTTCATGTGCCTGAATCTCAGTTTTCTCATCTGTAAAATGGGAGTAATTATCCATTCCACATTAGGTTCATGAGGCAATCTGTCTTCTTCCATTTCCTGTGTTGAGAGACTGAATGCAAAAATGAGTGGTGAATCTGGATCTGAGCTAGAGTAGGTATGCTAGGGCTTTCTGGGAAAAACAAATAGAAATCTGCAATGCTGTTTACCAGATGGGCAGTGCTGGCTCCTCTTTGACTTCTCCAAATTGAATAAGACTTTGGGCTGGGTCCTCAAGAGACTCTCTCTGGCCACTGTTTAGATGAGCCAGATGCTCTGTATGCTTTCTCCCCTCCCTTCTTGTCTTCCTTTTTAAAAATCTCTTTTGTTTACTACATTCATTCAACACACGCTTTGCCAAGTATATTCTGTGTCCAAGGCCGTATGCTGAGCTGCTCAGTGTCCCAGAGAGGCTACAGATATGATCTATGTACTTGGGAAGCTCCCAACCCCGAGGTAGAGTCAGGGATCCCAGGTGTGAACCCCAGCTCCATAGCCAACCAACCCTGTGGCTGAGCTCCCCAACCTCATCGATCAAATGGGAATCATGACAGTGTCTAGAATTCTCTGAGGATTAAATGAAAGAATTTGTGGAGCAGGACTATCAATGTCTAAACACATTAAACGCTCAATGAACATTAATGTTAATATTACATTGGTTTTTTGTTTGTTTGTTTTTTTTTGGTCAAGGATGCAAATAATTCTAACATAAAGCGGAAGGTTGATAAAGACCTAAAGGAGCTGGAAAGACTGAGGGGAGGCAGCAATTTAGTCAGGGGGAGATTAGAGAGGCTCCTGGAGAGAGGCATTCAGGCTGGATGTGGAGGAACAGACAGAGTTTCGCCAGGTGTCCTTGGGTAGGGATGCACGAGGAGGAAGGCATGGACAAGCAAAGGCACAGACATGATGCTCGCCCAGGAGGTCCTTTTAGTGCTAAACTATCAAACTCTTGAGGCTGCCATTGATACAGCAGGCATTGGTCTACTCTGAGAATTCAGGCCACTTGCCAGCAAGGCAACGTCTTCTGTGGCACCCACTCTGCCACTGGTGGTCCATCTGCTACTTGGGATTGGCTAGGGGCAAGGAGATGGGAGCCACATCTGTAGGTGCAGACCCATCTCAGAATCCTCCAGCCCTGCGGAACCCCTGTGTTCACCAGCAGTCCCAGGTTTCCTGAAGGGCTATGCCCATGACAAGGGTCATCACACCCAGGAAAAGCCAAAACTCAGTGTCCTCGCTGTAGTTCATTCCTTGCTCTTCCCAGTTCAGATATTATTTTCCAAGCAGTCATCGTTTTTTGCCACAGTCATGTTGCCTAGCAACACAGCTGACATTCCAGTTACTAGCTTTCTAGGGGAACAGAGTTGGACTATGACCTAAGGTCACTTCCTGTGTAATAGGGGACAAAGTTTGATGAACCCTTTACCTACATGGGAAGTATTTCAGGGCATATTCAAAGCACATTCCTTAGTGCAGATTGAGGGCACTTAGGAGTAAGATGTGGCAGGAGGCTTGGAGGAGGCTTAGAGGAAGAGGTCTGGGAAGTAGGCTTGAAGAGGAGGAATTATTAATTGAAGTCTTACCTGGAGTGGGTCCAGTGCTAGTTTCTTTCGTGCATTCTATTAATTGCCTTGAACACCACAAGTAGGAACCCATGTCCTGCATTATTTCATAGTGTTAAAATCAATCTTCTAAGGCAGGTGTTATTGTCCCCACTTCAGAGAAGAGGAGAGTAAGATGCAGAGAGCCTAAAGATCTTGGCCAAATCCACACTGCTGAGAAATAGGGGAAAACAATATTCAAACCCAGTTCTGAAGACTGCTGAGCACAGAGTCAACCTTTGCTTTGCCTCTGAATTCCCTTAAAAATTGTATGCTCTTCAGTAAGCAACCTCAGTTCTCTGGACTTTCACATCCTCTTTCCTAAAATAAGACTTCATAGAATGGTTGTGAAGACTCAATGAGGTCAAGATATGAGGTGGTACACAGCAAGCTAAAGAAAGGCAAGCGGTTACTGTACCTCCTCTACCCACTGGGGAGCAGAGGCATTATTCTGAGACCCAAGGACCAGGCCCTGAAGGGTTTTAAGTGTACCTCTGAAAGACTCCCTCAAGATGGGGAAAAATGTGTAAATGCTATAAATACCCTGTAGTGGACTACTATGTAATTGTTAAAAATATTGAGAGGCATGTTAAATGAAAAATGTCACGTTTAGGGACGGATTTATCCTGCAACTCCATTTCCTTTCCTTGGTTCAGCTGAGTCCCCTTACACAAGTTGTACAGCGCTCAGCAAGCAACCTTAGATCTCTAAAAATTAATGTCCTCTTGGTGTGTAGATGTGGGGCTAGAGAAGCACCCAGAGTGTACACCACCCTCTCAATGGTCTCACCAACCTCAGGACTCTGTTCCACCAGGTGGCACCTCCAGAGAGGGCCATATTTTCCCCACCTCAGAGCCCCTGTTCATGCTGTTCCCTCTTTTTAGAATGTTCTTCCCTCACTCTTCACATAGTCAGCTTCTCATCCTTTGGGCTTTGCCTTGAACATCGTCAGCAGCCAGAGGTCATCCGTGATTACTTTATCTAAGTAGGTCTTCCCTGTTAGTCTTTCTCATTGCCCCGCTTTCATTTCTTTCTTAGCTCTTGTTACTGTCTGTAATCATTTTACTTAATTGTTTACTTGTTTATTATCAGTTTTCCCCTCTAAGACAAAAGGGATGGACTGTGTCTATCTCATTTTCCTGAGACAGCTAGACAGTGCCCTGCACATAGTAGGTCCTCAATAAAAATGTGTTGACTGACTTGACAGGAATGGAATGGGAGATTTTTGTATTGTACAAGCCAGTGTTATTGTTCTTGAAAAAAAAAATAATGTTGAAAAGGAATCTTTCTGGCTGCAATGTAGGGAAAGGATTGTTGGTAGGCACCAGATGGAGGGAGGTTGGTTCATTTGGGGTTGTTCAGCTCACCTACGTACAAAAGCATGTGTACTTGGACTTAAATCAGTGGCTATGGGATTGAAAAGGGGAATCAAACCAGAGATATTTTGTACTGCGTGACTGACTGGGAGGGTGAAGGGGTGTGCATGGGGAGGGAAGGATCTCCAGGGCCTGCCTGGGCAACCTCCTATCTTCCCTGCCCAGTGACTTGGGACCTGGCTGGTAATATTGGTTTTCTGAGTGTCATGCATGACCTTTATCCTCATTTCAGATCCAGAAAACGGGAAGCCTGGATAAGGTGGTGTCCTGGGCCAATCAGTTCCCCTACGCCCACCCACTTTGGTTTGGACAGTTCCTTGGCTTCCTGAACATCTATGAGCCTGACTATGTAAAAGCTGTGTACAGTCGAGGGGGTGAGAAATCCAGGGAGAGACTGTGGGGGAGGGGTGGTAATGAAAGCAAAAGGTCCAGGGACACATGTGGGGAGGAGTCCTGGGCCTGGGCCCTAAGTTTGGGCAGCTGAAATTCCCATCAACTCCTGTTTGTCAACTCCTCTGGGAATCTCCCAGTCCCTACTTGACATGATCTCTTTCTTCTGCAGATCCTAAGGCTGCGGATGTCTATGACTTCTTCCTCCAGTGGATTGGTGAGTGGGCACCTGCCTTCTTGCCTTCCCCATTCCAGCCTCTTGTTGCCTTTAGCTGCCTGCCCCATCCCTCCCAGCGATGTCCCGCTCAGTCAGTTATCCCATCAACTAGCCCACCTGGCTCCCTTGTGCCCAACCCAAGCTCAGTGCTCAGTGGGGAGACAGAGGAGGAGGGAGGAAAGTTTCTGGCTAGTTGGGGAAGTGGAGTTCAGGTAACTTCTCCTGCTGGGTCTGTCTACTGTCAGACAATCAAGGCAAGGGCTTTGGAAAATGCAGGCATATCAGGGACAGCTTCTTGGAGGAGGTGGCTTTAAGTAGACTCAAGGGGATTTTACCGGAGGTGCTGGCCAGGGGAAGGACCAAGGAAAGTTATGGTAGTAGGACTAAGGCTGTCATTGAGGTAGAGCTGGGTTGGGATAGAAGGCTGGGCAGGGAGAACTGGGGTTAGGGTGGGGTGGGGTGTGCTTGGCCCCAGGTTGCATGGTGTGGGTCAGGATTGTGTGGCCCAATCAGCCTTCCCTCTCCCATCCCTTCCCCAGGGAGAGGCCTGCTGATCCTCCAGGGGCCCAAGTGGTTCCAGCACCGCAAGCTGCTTACACCTGGCTTCCACTATGATGTGCTGAAGCCCTACGTGGCTGTGTTTGCTGAGTCCACACAAGCTATGCTGGTGAGCTTCCTCTGCAGGCTCCAGGAGACTGTGGCTGCTGGACCAGGCCTCCCTACCACCAACTTGCCTGGCGAAGGGCAGTGAGGGGAACTGCTGAGGCCCAAACCTCCATTCTGCCTGCAGTAGCAATAATGAGCCTTGTGCTCTGCCCATTGCTGGGTGCTGATTAAGTGTCAAGTGGCCAGGCAGCCCTGGTCTTTGTCTTCACCAGGCGTCCAAATCACCCTCTCCGAGGTCAAAGGGGCTCTGTGAGTCTCCAGTGAGATTTTACTGTAGCAAACTTGGGCTGCCTATGTTTGAGAATATTAGGAAGGCTTTTTCATACTTGAAAATTGGTTCTTCCTTGTCTGCCGACCCAAACTGCCTAAAGTAATGTTGCCAGCCATGGCCTCTAGAAGGGATATCAGGGGTTAGGTTCAGAGTCTCTGCACTGGATTGTCCCCAGATGTTGCCAGGCTAGTCACTCTCCTTGTAGGAAACCCCTCCCCAGCATCACTGCAGTCTTGACTTGCACACAGACCTTGCCGGGAAGCTCACCACCTCTCAGTTTTCTTTCCGTATCTAGAGGCTGCCCTTGCTGGGAGAAGGTGTCTATGCTATGGAAAGCCTGCCTCCTAGTCCTTCCATCTGAGACTAAAGCCCCACTCCACATTCCAGCAGGATGGAGGCCAGGCCAGGGACTGGGGGTGCATGATGGGGGGACAGGCTGTGGTGGGGTACCCAACCTCTGGCCCTCTAATACCTTCCATCTCTGGGTTCCAGGACAAGTGGGAAATAAAGGCTCGTCAGGATAAATCCTTCGACATCTTCTGTGATGTGGGCCACATGGCGTTGGACACACTAATGAAGTGCACCTTTGGCAAAGGAGACAGCGGCCTGGGTGAAAGGTCAGGGGGCACCTTGAGGCTGACCATACCCTCCACCCAGGCCAACTCAAAGGGGAGAGTTGGCGGGACTCTTGGGTCTGGGAGGAGATAGGGTTCTGCTCAAGGAACCCCGACTTGGGAGTTGGGTCTTGTCCAAGGTGGGGATGGGGAGACTCTGACTTCAGTGGGGAGGCTTAATGGCAGGGAGAGGAAGGGCAAAAAGTGCTGTGGTTGGGGCCAGACTGCTGGAATGCAGTTGCTTGGGGCTCTGCTGTGGGCCCACGAGCACCATCCTCCTTCCCTGATGTGCAGGGACAGTAGCTACTATATGGCAGTCAGCGACCTCACTTTCCTGATGCAGCAGCGCATCGAAACCTTCCAGTACCATAATGACTTCATCTACTGGCTCACCCCCCACGGCCGCCGCTTCCTGCGGGCTTGCAAGGTGGCCCATGACCACACAGGTGGGCCTTTCCTGCAGGTGCACCCACAGGGTTCTAGTTCAGTTCCTCCCATTGCAGGACCTCAGGTCCCCTTTGGGCAGATGACTGGTCCCCAAACAGTGACAGCTTGTGCTCTTGGCCCAGACCAGGTCATCAAGGAAAGGAAGGAGGCCCTTAAGGATGAGAAAGAGTGGGCGAAGATCCAAAGCCAGAGACACCTGGACTTTCTGGACATTCTCCTAGGTGCTCGGGTGAGTGCCCTGTTCCTGTCTCCTCCTGAGACCTGAGAACTGGTCCCACGGGGCACATGAGACCATTTTCCAGGGATGGGTCTCATCGGACAGTAAAGCATCTGTTAAACATTTTCCTCTTTCTCCAGTAAATGTGCTCTTGTCCTTTAACCAAGGCTTTGAGGTGGGAAGGGGAGTGTGTGGCTGGTACTGGCACGGGGGAGAGATGAAGGTGTAGGGAAGTTGGGTCACATGATAGAAGGCCTGAAAATCATCTGTTGACTTCTAAGACTGAAGAATCTTAGTAACTTCAAATCTTAGAATGATAGACTTGATTCGTTTATTTATCCATCCATCCATCCATGCACCCATCCATCCATCCATCTAGTTGATCCTTTATTTACCCACTCCACAAACTTAGAGTTCAACCCTGGGGTTAGGTCCTGTGCTAGGGATACAGAAGGTGAAAAAGGCCTGGTCCTGTCCTCTAGATGCCTGCAGTCTAGTGGAGGAGATGGGGGTGGACACTGATCTCTTCCTCTGCTAGGTGCATGCTGTGGGTCAAATGAGCAGGACTGGTGTCAGAGACAGATCACTGCCAGAGAGATCAGGGAAAGCTTCCTGGAGGAGGAGGCATCCGCGCTGGGCTCAGGCCCAAAGCCCCAGTCTGAAAAGGCGCTTTCACTCCCTCCCTTCAACCTTCCTTTGACTGCTTTTCCCGGTACCTACCTCCACATGCCTTGAGCTGTCCCATTACACCATCCTTAATCCAGGACGAAAATGGAGTCAAGCTGACAGATGCTGACCTCCGGGCTGAGGTGGACACGTTCATGTTTGAAGGACATGACACCACCACCAGTGGCATCTCCTGGTTTCTCTACTGCATGGCCCTGTACCCCGAGCACCAGACTCTTTGCCGGGAGGAGATTCGAGAGATCCTTGGGGACCGGGACACTCTGCAGTGGTGAGCGAGGCTTCGGGGGAGCCAGTCTCCCGTCAGCCCTGGGAAGGGCTGTGCCCATGTTGTCTGGTGTCATTTGCGGATGGCACAGCGGGTGGTGCCGGCTGTCCTGGTCTCTTCAGTGCTGTGTCGTTTGAGGGGAGCTGTGCGCGAATGCACCCCTGAGCCCACTCTGCCGCCGGAGCCGCCTCACCTGCAAGCGATGTAGTCCATAGGCTATAGGAGCCCGGTTGCTGGTGTGCGCGCGCCCCCTGCTGGCGGAGCCCGCCGCCCGCCCCGGAGAGCATGCGCGCTGGCGGGGAGCCCGCAGGTGAACCGAGCCGAGACCGCCCGCCGGCGCCTCGGAGGGCCGCGCGCAGTCTTCACTTAAACACCTTCACTTGAAAAACTTTCCATTGTTCTTGGCTTAGGCTCGAATTCGAGAGCATGATGCCAGTTGCGGCTGAGCTCTCTGCAGTGTAGTCTCTGGGAATCTCCCCCGGGTCTTCTCCCTGCCTCCTGCCCTCAGGTCACTGCATCCAGTCTCACCCCTCACCTTTCTCTCTGGGCTCCCCTGGCTGCAGCAAGGGCTAAGCACGCAGCAGGGGTGCAGAAGATGCCCAGTCTGTGGGAGAAATGTTCGCATAACCCGAGGGAGACTCCTAATATTCCAGATCTGTGGCTTGAAGGACAGTTTTCATAACCCATTTTTATTGGTTGGTGCTTGGAAACCTCTCAGGGTGTCCAGCCACCTTGTTAGGTGCTGTGGGAAGAGGAGGGGGAGTAAGTTGCTGCCCTCAGGGAGTTCTCAGAGAGAAAAACTCGCATAATGAAAAAGCCAGAGGGAACACAGAATGGGGTAAGGTTGAGTGGACCCGTGTTGAGGGCAGAACTCAGAAGGTTTGGCACTTGAGTTGGATTCCTTAGGGGTGCAACTTAGATAAAATGAGGCTGGGCACTCTAAGTTGGGTAATGATGTGAACACAGACTGGAGGTAGAGAATTAAAATATTGGTTTATCTTCACTTCATTCCATTTAGAACTGAAGCAACGTAGAGTAAGTACACTTATTCAATTAAAAAAATAGTAAAACACAAATGAAAAGTAAGGAGTAGAGGAGAAGGTATCCTAGGGTTTGGGTTGTATAATGTGCTCTAAAATAGTTATAGTTGTGGCGCATTTGAGGCTGAGCTTTCTGGTAGCAAAAGGGAAAAGAAACATGCACACACACATGTGTGCATATATGTGTTATATGTATATATGTTATACATGCGTGTATATGTCATACATTTGTATATGTGTTATATATGTGTGTTATACGTGTGTGCATGTGTTGTGTGGATACAGATACAACCTGAGCTTCCCATTGTGCATGCATTTTTTTTAGTCAATCAACCGATGTATATGAGCCCCTGTTCCTTCCCATCCTGTCTCACAGAAAAAACCAAGAAGAACTTGAGGCACTCTCCCCTGTGGGGCATTTGTGGGGTTCTGAGGGACACAGGGGTGACCTTGTGTTTGATGGCTGTGTCACACACACCTTTTGGGTCTTGTGCTTTTCCTTTCTAGCAGTGAAGAGAGAGGGATGAAGAAAAGTGGAGCCAAAACACCTGGGTCTGAGAGGCTGCCCCAGGGGGCTGGTCTGATCTGGATACCCCAGTGTTCGTGTCCCTCGGCTCTGGGTGTGGAATGGTGGTGAAGGCGGAAGTTGGGGCTGGGATCTGCCTTCCCATGGAAACCTGTTGCTCCCTGTCTCCAGTATGACCTGATTATGTTGCCGGCAGGGATGATCTGGGCAAGATGAGCTACCTGACCATGTGCATCAAGGAAACCTTCCGCCTCTACCCACCTGTGCCCCAGGTGTACCGCCAGCTCAGCAAGCCTGTCAATTTTGTGGACGGCCGATCTCTGCCCACAGGTGGGACAGGGTGGATTGAAGGTGGATCCAAATTCCCTGTGGTGAATGTATCTCGAAAGGCTCCATACCTTTGGCAAAATGTTTGCCTCTGTGGGGGAGAGCACAGACGTTGTGTCTGATTGGAGTTCAAATCTAGCTTCACAGTGTATGGGTTAACCCCTCTACCTCTAAGCCTCCATTTTGTCTTCTGTAAAATTGGAGTGTGAAGACTACTCAACAGGTCGTCAGGATTAAAGAGGCAGCATTTATCAGGGCTGTCATGTTCACAAGCAGGGGTGCCCTGAGCAATTTCAGAGACATCAGTCACATAGACTACGATGTCGTGCAGTGCACACCTGTACAACGGTATGAGTTAGCTCTATATCTGATAAAGAGTAAATTACGCAACAAATCGTCACCATTCCTATCGACAGTATAATGTTAGGAATGAAAACTTTCCTCGAGAGTCAGCAAAGGAAAGCAAAAAGGGTGTAACAGTCCTTGCCTATCCTGCTTCTCAGTGGGGTGGATTTAATTCTCTTTTCTATTCCTCAAATGTCTGTGTCAGTGCTGTGCCTGGTGCTGGGGCTACAGAAAGTAGGTATGGGGATGATCAAAAGCATTTCAGTGTGTTGAGAGTAGTGCTCAGACAGGAGCGGGTGCCCACTTGGGGGACACTCAGGGGTTCCAGCCCTGCGAGGAGGGAGATCCGCTGTCCCAGGGCGGCCTGGTTACCAGCCTCTGCTCTGCCCACAGGCAGCCTGGTCTCCCTGCACATCTATGCCCTCCACAGGAACAGTGCAGTGTGGCCTGACCCTGAGGTACTGCACCCCTGGGCCTCTGGCGGTCAGATGGGTGGGAAGCAATGGGAGTCCCCCTGCCCCAGGACCTGGCAGGTATTCAGACACATCCTATCCCCTCAGGTCTTTGACCCCATGCGCTTTTCCCCTGAGAATTCAGCCAACCGCCATCCCTTTGCCTTCATGCCCTTTTCTGCAGGACCCAGGTAAGGAAATGCCCAACGTCCTCAGGCCCTCAGGACTGGGGAGAAGAGGGTGGAGGTCATCACAGGGAAGGCGTCCCCTTGGAAACTCTGTGATGAGGGGGGCATGCTGGTTTGTGGCGATCCTAATCAAACTAGATTCCAGGGACCTTCTTCTTGCCATAGCATGTTCTTGTCCCTGGCAGGTGGTGGGGTGCGTGAGTCATTCCAAGAGAGACCCCCATGCCACAATCCCTGTTATGAATCTACTTGGTGTGGGACCCTCACTCTGCTCCCTCCTTCTCAGGTCAATTGAGTGTTCAACCAAAAATAGTTACTCATTTTCGTTGGCCACCAAGCACTGAGTTTCATCATTCCAGGCCCTACAGCCCCTCGCCTCCTTGTGTTGTTCCCTGCAGGAACTGCATTGGACAGCAATTTGCCATGAATGAGATGAAGGTGGTCACAGCCTTGTGTTTGCTCCGCTTTGAGTTTTCTGTAGACCCCTCGAAACTACCCATCAAGTTGCCCCAGCTGATTCTGCGCTCCAAGAATGGCATCCACCTGCACATGAAGTCGTTGGGCTCAGGCTCTGGGAAGTAGCTCTGCTGAGAGCAGGGCCTCAGACAAGCAGGCTGTGACTCTCCCTGGAGACTGCCCTCTCCAGGCTAGCTTGTGGAAGATCTGGGGCTCCCTGCCTTTGGGAGGCTTATAGTTTAGAAGGGGAGTAGGCACCAGCATAGGTAACCACCTTGAAGGCAGTGCCACATAAATATGTGTGCTTTATCATTAAATGCCTATGTTGCATGCATGTTAGAGCTCACTCATTCATTCAACAAACTTAATGTGAGCAACTGCTTGCTTCTAGAGTCTTTACTTATCTCCCATAATTGACAGTCTTACCAACTAACTTACATTCCAGCCCAAGTGACACCATGATGGCAGTGGAAGCTGTGCCTTGGGACTCATGGTCAAGACCAGGCCTCACCCATTCCACGTGATAGAGGATGACTCACGGGGCACGCTGCTTCACTGGCACCTGTTGCTTTGCTAACTTTGGTGTGCGTGTCTGGGATCTAGCAGCTATAAGGGAAAATGTCCTAAACAAAATGTACAGAACAATGAGTTTTTAAAGCAAACATCCGGGTTCACCACTGCTAAAGTCAAGGAATGTGCAATGTGGTTTCGTGGGTGTGTCTTCTACTTGTCCTGAGAGCAATCCTGTCAGCATTAGCATCTGAGTCAGTCAACCAGTGCTGGAAGTCTGAACTTTGACAGGCAAAGTGGGCAAAGTGGCATTAGAGGGGAGATTCCTGGAAAAGATGGTGCTCGAATTAGGCTTTGGGACAGGGTGAGGAATGATAGTGCAAAGAAGGAATTTTGGCCTGTTGGGTTTCAGGGTCTCAGGCTAGGGACACATGTTAGAGCTCCTTCCCCAAGAGTCCCTGCAGCAGCGGCCTGATGGCTAGGGCTCCAGGTCTCAGGCCATTAGTGGGTTCCAATCCATGATGTAGACAGGTGTGGGAGGGAGTGCACTGGAGACTTGTGGAGGACAAGGAGAGGGGAATTCTAACCTTGGGGCTGGAGAGTGTCTGTTGCTCAGGGGATGTACCTTCTGGAGACACTGCCTTCCTGCTCTTGATGCTTCCCCTCTCAGGAAACCACACCTTGGAAGGTTACCATGGGCCACCTGCTCTCTCCTGAATTGCCCTGTCAAGACCCAGACCTGCTTACCTACCTGAGAATGGGGTGCAGAGGCCCCACTCAGGATACACCCCATGCCACCAAACTTGCCCCACTGTCTTGGCCCTGGAGGGATCTTTCTCTGTGCAAGTGAAGATACCATTTCAAAAGCCGTCCCCTGGGAGATGAGCCTGGAGTTCATAACCACCATGAGTGTCACCTGAGTCCAAGTCATGGCTATTTCCAACTCTGGACTGTCAGGGGCCCTGTGAGGCAGGACTGGAGGAGGTTACCCCACTTCGATATTAAGGGAAGGAACTTGTAAAGATGCTCTTTGGGGAGGAGCCTGAGCTGAGGCCTTCTGATTCTGGCCTCTTTGGCCAAGACTCCAAAGGTGGTGTTGACTTTAGGCATGTGCCCTGGAGGGAGAACAAAGATTCTGGATGCAGAGGGGAGGAGTAAGGCTTCACTGGGGAGGGGTGTGGTGCTGGGGATTTTCTGCACGTGTGTCACGGGAGGTGGGCAAGTGAGTGAGAACCCCGACCCCGAGCTTGCCCAGGGCCAGGAGCCAGCAGGGTCACACCTGGGTTACTATGCTCACTGTCTGTGAAATCCTGTGTTTCGAACCAGGGGACTGTCCTGTGCACGAGGTCCCACTGATGGTGCTGCAGGACTGACATCCTGTCCCACTAGCCACATCCTTCTGCCCACCTGGGTTCTTCACAGCCCCTCCTGGACCACTACCCAGACTGTGGCCTGAAGGTGATGATGCACATTTGGGCCTACTGGGGTTCTGTCACCTCAGAGCAGATATTACCTTCTTTCCTCATCTCTTTCCTCCTCATCTCTTCTGTCTTTCCTCCCTTTCATGCCCCCTTCTTCTACCTCCTTCCAAGAGAAGTCAGACACCTGTGACACTGAGAACTTAATTCACGGAACGAGGACAGGAGAGGGTATGTAAGTGGCAGATGGTAGACAGGTGACACACAGGAGAGAGTCCGCAGCTCTGACCAATGGGAATCACCAGGGACAGGCAGGGTGAGTCCTGGTACCCCAACATGTATGCGTCCCAATCCCTAGACCCTGAGAATATGCCTCATTTTACCTTAGTGGCTCTATGTCATCACAAAGGTCCTACCAAGGAGAAGGTATAAAGACAGAAGCAGAGAGATATTTAAAGACACTGCTGGATTTGAATACGGAGCAAGACTCCAGGAGCCACGGGCTTGAGGATGCAGCACTCGAGCATCCTGGAGATAGCACCTCCAGGAGATAGAACCCTGGAGATAGTGCAGACCTGTCCCCCACCTTGATTGTGGAGCAGCAAGACCCATTTTACACTTCTGATTCCAGAATGTTAGGGAATGAATGTGTGCTGTGTAAGTCATTAAAGCTGTGATGAATGATTATGACTGCAAGTGGAAATGAATCAGGGACAGACAAGCAAGAAGAAGGGGGAAAGGGAAAAGACAGACAGAGGGAGAAGGCAGGAAGGATATAAAGATAGTCAGAGACAGACAGACAGATAAAGATTGCTCACACTCTCCCCTGACCGTGGATGAAGCCTCTCTCTCTTCCAGGTCTAGCTCCTGCTTCCTACTTCTGCTCTCAGCAAACAAATTCTGATAGGGGCGGGTCAATGCTCTAAGCCACGGGGGTCAAATCAAGTGAATCTCTAAAAAGTCACTTATTAGTGTTCACCCTCCACAGCAATTTCTGGTTTCACAATAGGTCAGGGCACAGAGAGGGAGAGTGGGCCATGCTCATGCCCTCAGCTTGGGGGGCACACTGGGACCCCAGTCCACAGAGAGAGGATAAGAGGGAGCTGGGTAAAGAGTCAGAGTGGCAACAAGAAGCTTCCTAGAGGGGCAACAGACCAGTGACTCTCAACCTGTTGCCCCATGCGCCTTCCAATTAATAGACTCCTGTCTCCCCTCATTTCCTCACTCAACCAGCTTCCGTAGCCTTTCCACTCTATTCCTGAACCGTGCCTCCTGGCCAGCCCTGCCTCCCCACCTGGACGTTTCCTTCTCCCTGCTTCCCCTCTCCCTGCACTGAGTGTAGGCCCAGCTCAGACCCTCCAATGGCCTCCGTCACAGGTAGGACACGTCCCAAGGCCTCAGCTGGCATCATTCCCTCAGTAGGTGTTACCTCGTTCATCTCTTCCATTACCTCTTCCTAGCTCAGCTCATACTGAGATCATTGAAAATATCCTCCCGCCACATCCTGCCACATCCTCAAGGCTGAGCCCAGTGGCTGCACCGCTGCTGCACCTCTTCTTCCCCAGACCCCCAAATCTCCATCAATGTTTCACTCAAGGACACATCATAGGCCTGTGCTCAGGACACTGCCATGAACATGACCTCACAACAGTCTGCCTGATGAGTGAGTGAGTGAACAAAGGAAGAACAAACAACATGTCTTGAGAGGAGGTGTTGGTTTCTTGACTCAACTCCTGGAGGCGGGGATGGCATCTTTCATCTCTGAGTTCCCATCTCCTACTACAGGACTTGACACATGGGGAGAGGCTTAATACATGCTTTTATATTTGAACCAACTTAACAGAACTGAAACAATTTAAATAGCAAGGAACAAAAGTACACATTAATTCTGTCCTAGGAATCGGCCACCATGAGCTCCTGCCCTGTGGGGGCAGCCTTGTGACTTGGAGCCAGTGTATAGGAATGAGTCCTCACCCCTAGAGAAACCAAGGCCCAAAGCCAGTTCTGGAAGAACAATTTTCTGAAAGACTGTTTTGTGAAAGTTGACTCACCAATTGAAAACACCCCAGAAATATGTGTTTGAATAACTAGTTACAAAGTTCTCAGAGGTTAAATTTCACAGCATGATTTCATCAGCATTGTGGGATTTTTTGCCGATGGACTCCTCATTTTAGCCAATGTTTTACTTATCAATGTTGCACTCCTCAACAACATCAATGTTGCACTCATGCACCTCACCAGCTATTTCATGGGCGCTTCATACTTTACTTTTCAAATGCACAGGTCATCCTCAAAATGGGATTTTCTCTCAAAAGCAGTTCATTGTCCTCATCTGCATACATTTTCCTATTGTTGGACATATACTCTGAGACATAGATAAATGTGGAAGATAAACTTCAAATAAAGATTTCGGCAACTGGAGAAGTTGTGATGATTATGTGACTGTTCATGTGTAGTCAAGTTTTGTTAAGCTAAGCTGCAAAAATAGAGGACAGACATTGGCAGAAAGGTTTCTCCAAACACCTACTGTCCTTTCACAAGGATGTCAAGCAGCTGGGTGAGGAAGGAGACCCAAACACACCCCGATCAGTGATGTGCGAGTGGTTATGAGTGAATTCATGAGATAGCAGGGGGCTGAATTGAAAATGTGGGAAGAAGGAAAACTACCATTTAGGGTTATTGATACTTGAGAGAGCAGACATTTAAAGTTGAATTCTTATGAAAAATGCAAATTTTGAAGAGTCATCCTCCTAAAGTGAGGAAAACATCAGAATACCTGCCACCTTTAGAACAGCATAGACACTAAATTGTGCGAGCCATTGGGCAAGATCAGTGCATCAAGATCTCTGTGGTGTGGCCCCCAAATACATACTTTCCAGGGGCATTTCATGTTTTCTCTGATTAACCCAGAGCTTCTAAGTAGCAGGAGACTGAGGTTACCAGCTCCCCAAATTAGTGTGCGTGTGAGCCTCACTCTTCAGGGCAGCTTTTGTGAGTGTTGGGTAAGCCATGGGACTGGGTTTAGCAATCAGTGAAAATGATGTTCATGATAAGAGAAAAGCTTATTACAAGGTGATCAAAGCAGAATGTAGCTCTATGGATCTAAGAACTTAACTCTTAGAACAATCGCTCTTTTCACGGAGAACACTTATTAATTAGTAACATCTTTTCTCATGTCTTTGGTATCCAGACACCCCAAGCCTCCTTGAAGATTGTAACGAGGTATTCAATGTCCGTGTGCTTTCTTTGGCATTTAACAGAGGACGGTGCTACTGACGACGCCTAGTAAATCCTTTCTGTTTTTTTAAATTTTTTTTTAAGATTTACTTATTTATTTATGCAAGCACTGCGTACAGTCAGAAGCGTGGGAGGGTGAGAGAATTCACCAGAGACAGAGCAGAGAGCAGAACAGGCAGATTGACTAAATACACTGCTGAGGGGAGCAGCAGGGGCAGGAGAGGTCT